AAAAATTATATATATACAGTGGGTACGGAAAGTATTCAGACCCCCTTAAATTTTTCACTCTTTGTTATATTGCAGCCATTTGCTAAAATCATTTAAGTTAATTTTTTTTCCTCATTAATGTACACACAGCACCCCATATTGACAGAAAAACACAGAATTGTTGACATTTTTGCAGATATATTAAAAAAGAAAAACTGAAATATCAAATGGTCTTAAGTATTCAGACCCTTTGCTCAGTATTTCACTGTATATAAAATAAAATATATATAATAATAATAATTTAAAAAAAAGAAAAAAAAAACATTAAATGTAACACCCCTTCCCCAGCCTGTTAATGTACAATACAGTGGCATAAACACACAACGTTTAAATTACAATACATTGCTTTAAGGAATATAATTCCTATCGAGGTAACAGAAGAAAGGGTCCCAAATCTATTTTCACTTTTGTATACTGTATATATAATTTTATTTTTTTTACTATCTCAAACCTAAAAACAAATACCCTCCTCACCCTCATTGACCAGCTGTGCTACAATTCTCTGTGTGCTCTGGCTCTGTTGCCTCCACCAGCGGTAAAAGAAGGCCGTCTCTACGTAGATGAACCGTCGGGCTGGATCCTTCTGTAGCTGATCTATTACCGAGTCCAAAATATACTGAACTCCTGCATGCTGGATGTTGTTTCGGTCTGAAAAAAAACAATGACTGGATTAAAAAATTGAGATTTGTGGTTTATTTACATGCCTGAACCTGCCTGACACCAAAAAAACTTATTATGCAACAGAAGAAAGGGAAAGGGTCCCAAATCTATTTTCACTTTTGTATACTGTATATATAATTTTATTTTTTTTACTATCTCAAACCTAAAAACAAATACCCTCCTCACCCTCATTGACCAGCTGTGCTACAATTCTCTGTGTGCTCTGGCTCTGTTGCCTCCACCAGCGGTAAAAGAAGGCCGTCTCTACGTAGATGAACCTTCGGGATGGATCCTTCTGTAGCTGATCTATTACCGAGTCCAAAATATACTGAACTCCTGCATGCTGGATGTTGTTTCGGTCTGAAAAAAAACAATGACTGGATTAAAAAATTGAGATTTGTGGTTTATTTACATGCCTGAACCTGCCTGACACCAAAAAAACTTATTATGCTGTGAAGTTAAACATTAAGTTTTACCACTCCAATGCGTTGCCATTATCATATGACAAGCAACGCATAAATCATTGGACAGTCACATGAAGAATGCGATCTACTACGTACATACCAATGCAAGTTACGAACAAACACTTTCAAGTCAGACATGAGCAAATCTTCACCTCCATAGTAGTACTGATCCACAGTCTTGAGCCAGCCAACATCATCATGTGTGTGAGGAACCAGATGGACATTCAGCATGGAAGGATTTGTGGCTGGACATGACTGCAGAGATTGCAGGCCATTATCAGTGGAAAGATACAACAATAATAGCTTTACTTCCTCATTTATACAATCATTTCATTTTTATTTTACTGGTATATGTACAAAAACATGGCATTGCTAAGGTACAAGCCCAAATCACTATAGTAATAGAGTGACAATAGGTGCATAAATTACGAATTAAAAATAATAAATACCAAGGTAATTTTGGTACGTTTTTGTTATTGTATATTTACCCAAATGTTTTACATTTAGTCAAACCTTTCTTAAAGGTCCTACAACGAAGAACTTAAAAATATTCACACATTAAGCCAAAACTCACCCTATAACCGCAAATGGAGTTTCGACCTGTGGGTAAAGAAAAAACAAGGCAGAAGAATAACTGGAACAGAAAACTGAGGTACAGCACAGCCATTATGAAAATGAAGCTACAGTCATATGACAGCCGAATTTGTGTTGTGTCACATGACTTCTCCTCCAATAGTTTACGCATAAACAAAATAAAAGTCCTTAAATATCTACAAAATAAAAGGTCAGAATAAAATCATCTATTAAAATACAGGACTACCATGAATTAAAGGATTTAAAAGTATTTATTATATTATATTATATTATATTATATTATATTATATTATATTATATTATATTATATTATATTATTGCTTCCACCACAACAAGCAATTCTACCCCTAGTAAAATTATTTTTGAAGCATACCTGTTTATTAAGGAGACAACAGTATATTTAAAAAATCCCTAGAAAAAAAATTGCCTACCACATCTAAACTGTTAGCATATAAAGAACATAAAAAAATTTGTATAAACTTTTTTCTTTTTTCGGGGATTTTTTCGCCCACATTGCTTCAGTCAGTATCCTGTTCACAAAGACACGTGTACTCTTCTTAAGGGAGGAAGCTTTTACAGCTGTGGTTTACTACCTACTGGGACCATGATGACCTCACCTTTTATCTACTTCATTCTCCGCACTCCTTTTTCCTTCCCCCTCCATCTCGCGGGTTTGCAAGGGTCATGTAGGCTACCCACCATCTATCTCCTGCCTGACTCCCATAACAAATAGCTAACATTCCGCAGATCTAAAGAACTGGTTAAAAATCTTCAAAAACTCTTAAAGGTTTTTAAAAACATTATAATGTAAATCAGGATGTCTTTTTGACTTTATTATTACTTCATGTTAAACAGATTTTTTTTTAAAATGTTTTATTAAAATGAGTAGCTACATCTTATTGAAGGGATTATAGAAGCTGAAGAAACAACTCCGGTAGGATATTTTCTTGAACAGCCGTTTAAAGCATTACGTCAGAAGTGCCTCTGGTTAGACCAAGTCATTCATCATCATCTCAAATGTCAGATTATTGTACAATCAAAGGATTTACCAATCAAACATTTCAATTTCATATTACCTGCAGAATGACTCCCCCTGTGGTTGTCCCTGCATAATTATTCAAGTAACTTTGACTTTATATTGTGAGAATAAAAACCCAAGAGAAGCCTAAAAGGCAGTCCAGCATGAGCCAGAAGAAAAAAAGATTTGCATGGGAGCCTCTGTGACTAAAGGCTTTGTTCACACTTTAGTCTCTTCATGAAAAGACAAGCTAAAGGATGAGCCACATCGAAAGGAATCCAAGATCATGTTGCTGCATAGATTTTCACTCAAAGGCTCAATCTGGGCTGTTGTAGATCTGTGAGGAATCTCTGTTCTTTGTACAGCAATGTAGAATTGGTACAAATAATTTTAGGTCTAGACAAGCATTAACTAGCCCTATTAGCATATCTTGCATAGTGTTTATTTCTGGAATGTCATTATGTTTCATTATGTTTTGTTTTTTGACATGTTGCTGTTTATTTCCTTTTTTTTTTAATTTGCATGAAACACTTAAACTAATACTTTATTTTAAAAATGGGAAACATCACGTTTAGTTTGCTATGTTGCTTCACAATTATAAACATATTATATTATATTATATTATTGGTGTTTATATATTTGTCTCGTGTGGCTTACTGCTATATTATGAACTTTTAAGTCTGTTAAAGTAAACTTCATACTAATTAATTAATTAAGTGTCAGGACTATCAGCATTTTGAGATAAAACTGATCCTTTCAGACAAGTGCTATACAGTAGCTTATTACAACACATTGCACCAAACACCTGGTTTAAATCAGAGGAGGGCCACAGCCAGAATGTGCAATGTTTTCCCCTGTTGCTGCTCTGTAAACATTTAGATAATAGTATGAGGCTACCACCGTCTAAATCACTTACAGCCTCCTGCATCTACTCACCTACCAGTATTTCTCTGTTTATTTTGTTGCAGGAAGTATCCAAGCACATGTGTCTTTAGATGAACCAAATATTCTGTAACATGAAAGATCTTTGAATTGTATGCATGCTGTATGAAATCTGACAAAAGGAATGCATGAGAAAAAAAAAGGAAAGTGAAAGGGAACAGCTGAGGAAAAATATATGACATAATTGTCGAGAAGCAAGGCCACAGAGAGGGCTCGACTTTGTGTTTCTGACTCTTATCTGCCCACAACGTCTTATTGGGGAGGAAGCTTTTAGAGCTTGAGTTTACAGCCCTCTCTCCCTCCAAATGAAAAACTTATTATGCTGTGAAGTTAAACATTAAGTTTTACCACTCCAATGCGTTGCCATTATCATATGACAAGCAACGCATAAATCATTGGACAGTCACATGAAGAATGCGATCTACTACGTACATACCAATGCAAGTTACGAACAAACACTTTCAAGTCAGACATGAGCAAATCTTCACCTCCATAGTAGTACTGATCCACAGTCTTGAGCCAGCCAACATCATCATGTGTGTGAGGAACCAGATGGACATTCAGCATGGAAGGATTTGTGGCTGGACATGACTGCAGAGATTGCAGGCCATTATCAGTGGAAAGATACAACAATAATAGCTTTACTTCCTCATTTATACAATCATTTCATTTTTATTTTACTGGTATATGTGACAAGTGCTATACAGTAGCTTATTACAACACATTGCACCAAACACCTGGTTTAAATCAGAGGAGGGCCACAGCCAGAATGTGCAATGTTTTCCCCTGTTGCTGCTCTGTAAACATTTAGATAATAGTATGAGGCTACCACCGTCTAAATCACTTACAGCCTCCTGCATCTACTCACCTACCAGTATTTCTCTGTTTATTTTGTTGCAGGAAGTATCCAAGCACATGTGTCTTTAGATGAACCAAATATTCTGTAACATGAAAGATCTTTGAATTGTATGCATGCTGTATGAAATCTGACAAAAGGAATGCATGAGAAAAAAAAAGGAAAGTGAAAGGGAACAGCTGAGGAAAAATATATGACATAATTGTCGAGAAGCAAGGCCACAGAGAGGGCTCGACTTTGTGTTTCTGACTCTTATCTGCCCACAACGTCTTATTGGGGAGGAAGCTTTTAGAGCTTGAGTTTACAGCCCTCTCTCCCTCCAAATGGGGCCATGTGATGACCTCACCCTGTTTCTACTAAACTCTCTCTTACTCCTCTCCTCCCTCACCCCCCTCTCGCTTTCTCATAGTCTGTGCAGGAGTGAGGCTGGAGTCACGTTCTCCACAGTTCCTGCAGTCTGCATCTCAAAAGTCTGTCTACAGTGTCTCAGAAGACTTCAAAGTGGACCATTTAGCTTTGTTGACTGACTTGGTTTACTCAGGCTTGGATTTACCAGAAGGAGGATTCTTTTAAACATTGAGAATGGTGTTTTATTGTTTTATGCTTATTTGTTCCTCAATCAGATGATTAAAGCAAGAACAGCAATGAAGAGGATCCAACCTTTCACTATCGGGACCAAGTTATCTGTCCCCTCCGAAAACAAATGTCTGGATTATGTGAGCATCATGCTTCCTGTACCAGTTCTGGACTGCTGTGAACTAAGAAACGACTCAAACAATGACAATTCTCCTTTCCATGAGGACAGAGTGTCCACATCTACACCTGTGGAGGGACTTTCAAACTATATTAAAGAGGAAGATGAAAGGGACTCTGTGTCCCCACCAGCTTCCTCCAGATCCATCAGGAAGATCGCTATGTGTGCAAATGCTGAAAACCAGACTGTCACTGACTTTAATGTGACAAACTGTGAGACAAACAAGCCAAGTACTTCTACTGAAAAGCTGTTTCTTATTGAGGAAAGTGACAAGCCCGGTGCACAGCTGGAGGTGAGCAAAATCATCATGTGGTGGACATTATATAGATAGAAATTCTTTGCTTCTTTGCACATAGAGACATACAGTACTTTAAAGTTATATTACAAAATATTACAGTCATGTATCTTCTTTAATTTTTTGAATGAAATTATAAAATATTAGTTATAATTGTAAATGATAAAGTTGTATGTGTATATATATATATATATAATATATATATATTTTATAATTTCATTCAAAAACTTAAAGATGATACATGACTGCATTAGATAACAAAATATCAAAACAAGTGGCATTTAATTTTAAAGAAATATTATAACCAAAAGGTTTATTGGGTTTTAAATAATAATTATATAAGCACACACACAGAGAGAGAGAGAGAGAGATACATATCCCACTTTAATATTTTAAATGATTCCCACTGAATGCAATTTTAGACTCACAAACAGAAACAAACCAAACTCTACACTTTTCAAATGTAAACATTTTGTTAGTTGACATCACAACATTTTTTTTTCACAGAGGTCACAAACCAACAGCACAAACACCAGCTCCATATTTGTTATTCTCTCAGTCTCTCAACAGTTTTTATGAGCTGTTTGTTAAATTGTTACAGTTACCGCCTGCCCATGCACAGTCTCCACAAACGTCAGCGAGGAGTTTCCCACTGCAAAACTAGAAATGCAGCTTCTCATAGCACAAATGAATACAACAAGAACACATTGTCTTATTGTGAGACGGGAAAAAAAGAAGAACAATCTGTGTGGATTATTACAGTTTTGCACACTGTGCTCATTGAGATGAGGTCATAGCAAGGCCCTTCATTACACAAGCCCACAGCCAAGATGAACTTGTAATTTCCCCATAAAAAATGGAGAGTAGTTCCCAGGGCCGTTTCTAGCCAATTTGACGCCCTAGGCGAAATCCCTATTGCCCCCCCCCGCTCCAAATGCAAACTTTGCATGCAACAATCGGGCAGCAATTGACAGCACTCTGATCTAGTGGCATACAGGCATCGTCAGATTGACAGTACTCTAGCCCAATAATGTTGGGGGATCCAGTGGGGGCAGTCATATTTCAGGGTGACCGTGCCACTTTATCACAACCCAGCTAAAAGTGCCAGTACGTGCGCTCATTGGCGCCCCTTCAGCTGGTGGCGCCCTAGGCGACCGCCTAGCTCGCCTATGCCTAGAAACGGCCCTGGTAGTTCCAAACTGGAACACACAGGGAAGGATCTGAGTCTAAACTGATGATCAGACACTAATGAAATAATGTTTAAACTATTGGCTGTGATGCACTTTATGGATAAATAAGTGCCAAATTATGCTACAGTATTCCACAACTTATACTTGATTCCCGGTTTTGTGTAAATGGTAAAACAAAACTATAAATGTTAAAGGTCAGAAGGTGTGGTTTGCGCACTCTTAAATAATTTTTTCGCAGTCATCGCAGTGGTGTAGAATACAAGTTAAGCAATGCAAGATCTGCAACATAAAACACCACCGCTAATAGATGAGATCATTATTTGGAAGTACCACACCTTGCTGCAGGCTCATGTATTGTTGGTGGGCCAACAGACTCAGATCCTGCTATTATTGTGTTTTACACTCTAAAATACATCATAAAAATCCCCCGGGTGTCCTAAACACAGGTGCATAATCATGAGGTGTTCACTGTGTCTGCACTGCAAATACAAACTATTCAAGATAAACCCAAGTTAAATGTCTATTGAAAAACAAGCAGTTTTCAAAGCATAATACAACATGTGGAACTGGCAGGCAAATGTAGAAATTCAACTGTATAGAAATAGCATGCTCTATAGCATACACTGCACTGCACTGTATCTGAAACCTCTGAAGAGAATGTTTTGGCATATCATCTTGTAAGCAATCTTTTCCAGTCAATTCGGTACTTAATCTGTACTTCATGTACCCAAACAAACAACATTTTTTTATTGCCTAACAGCTGAGAAACTGCAGAAGAACCAGAACTTGGCGCACAAATCGAATTAGTTGCAGCAACATAGAATGATGTAAGACATTTTGGGAGATTTACAAAATGAGAAATAGTCTGTCGGTCAAGAGTCTGTGAGGTCATTGGCGAAGAGCACAGATGAAAACCATAATAGAACATTACTGTTATAAAAAACACACAATAAAAATATTTTTAAATTAAAGATAAATAAATAAAAACACTCAAAATTAGGAAACTAAAAAAAGTTTCAGATGTGTCTTCAAAAAACATTGAATCCACATACACAAATAAAATAGGTCTTTTCCCTCAGAAATGGCTAGAAACACATTGAATTAAATGTGAAACTTTAAAGTAGACACTGAATACTGCAATACTTCAACTTAAAACTGAAAGTATTTTTTGTAAAACGTACTCCAATAATCATTGTTTAATTTACAACTTTGAAAACAAAGTGTAAAGCTCATATTCTAGTCGCTATATATCTTTACAGACTGATCCATGCACTAAAGGAAGGAAGATAAGGAATCTTCATTATGATTACAGCATGCCAACTTTCCCACATGATCAACCGGAGGACACGTCTCACAGCCAAAGGAGAGACCTCAAAGACTTTGAGAACTCTCTCATCCAACTGACGACGAGTCTGGACTTGATGCAGGTTAAATGCACCGTAATGATGCTTCTGTTTTGTTTATTAATGTGTCTTTTTGTACCATTACCTCATGTACTCTTAATTCATCTCCTGTGCCAGGAGGAACCAAAAAGACCTCTTCAGAAGAAGACAGATGCTGTAGATTTAGGATCGGAAATGTTTAGAAGAAGACAAAGCCCGGGGGACCACGTTGACAAATCGTAAGATTTCCTGGCACAATGGAACATAGAGCATTATTACTCTTTTGTTAGTGACACAAACTGCTCGGTTTCTCTGCAGGTGGCTGAAGTTGAGGTCACTCCTGAGGGACTATCATCAGGATCTCATGTTGGCTCTAGACGTCTCGTCGTTTTACCAACAAGCCGACAGCATCATTGGCGCCATTAACAGCAAGGTTGTGCAAACAAGGGTTGATTAGTTTTTGGCATTTAGAGAAGACCTCAAACTGTCTTTATAAATCATGATTGTAATACAAGTCCTGATCCAGGATGAATTTCGTTGCAGAGGAACCATGTATTGGCGGGCGAAATCCAAAAAAGCGACAAAGAGACCAGAGAAATTGCCTGTCAGATCAACGTAAGTCAACCCATGATCTCATTAGAGGAAATACTGTCTCCTTATGTAAACCTGAATTTGAGAACATCAAAACAGTGTCACAGTGCCACGGTCACTTTGTGTTTTTATGTATGATTTCTCACTCAACCAAATAGTAGACGGTTGTATTGGTCTCACACACAGACTGTAGCAAATGAACTCCAAATGAATGATGTCATTTCCTTCCATGACCCCACCCCTCCCTGGACAACTCTCTTTCCAGATGCTGAATGAGTCTGCGTCTCGGCTGTCAACTCTCCACCCAACCCTGGCCAGAAGTGTTACATGCAAACAGGCCGAGGTGAAGGAGAACTGGGCACTTCTCCAGTACTTTCTCCAGTAAGCGAAAGTCCACTTACTCCCATTGTCCTCCTGTGAACAAAAAACAATAGTAAACAAAGTATTTGAGCGCAGTGATGTCATATTTAAAGCTTGGAATAGTAAATGACATCATGCTGAAATGGAATCCATACTTGTCAAAATGCAGGAGTGGAGCTAACATGTGGTGTAGTGACGTAATGTTATGGTCTTTTATTTTGATACTGACCTACTGCAGAGTCTTAGATCATAGATGGTAGATGTTGTTTTGACGCAAATGCTACGTATTTAGTTTCACGCATTGATTCGTTTAAGCATTTGCCAGTTTATGTAATGTTTTGTGTCCTTTTAAAGTGTGCAGGAAGACAAATGTCACTTAAGAGCTTACAAAAATATTATTTTGCATACTTAATGAGCGATTTTTAGATAATTTTTCTATTAAACCATGCACAACTGGTTTAAAACATTGCCAATACCATTATAGAAAGCTGTAATTAGTGGCTGAGCTAACGTCACCCTTTTTAGTTACAAAATATCACATTGTATCATAGCTCTTATCACAGAACAGTCAACAGCTTTAGACACAGAATTCCACAAAATACTCACACCATTATGGAAACTTAGATTTGAAATGTGACCTCTGACTTCTGAAAGTGTCAGAGAGGAAAGACAGAGGGAATGAATGACAGACAGGGAAAGAAATAGAGAAAGGGTGGTTATCGATGAACAAAGGCTGTGAAAGCAGAAGATTTAGCCTCAGCTCTGGTGCAGATGTGAGGAATAGCTCATATGTATGGTATGAAAATATGATGATGAGAGACGGGTACTCTGTGAAAACGCATCTAGAGGAATGTGCCCGTGCAGAGAGGAAGGAACTTATAAGAAATAACTGTCTGAATGTTCGTCATAAATCTCATTACTAAAGCAACTAGTTCAGACTAATACAGAAAGACTTAACAACAAACCAGAGTAAAATAAGCCCTACTTATAATAACCTTCTTATACCTAATTACCTACCTACCTACTCACTTAATCAGAGTTTTGTGTTAGCATTTAATTCATGTCTATTAGGCCTGAGGCTATTGAAAATTCACTTTTAGCAGATCCATACATTGATAAGATTTTTGTTTAAAAAATAATTTTGATTACATTTTTTGTTAAGGAGGATCATTTCTTTTCTGGGAAAACGTTCAAAAAATATATTGATTACTCATGTAGTGATGAAATTTGTACTACACAAAATGTGTCCATTTGATATTTAATTGAATACCACAGTTCACATACTTGTGTGTAAAATCTTTGTAGAATGCTTTCACACAGAAATCATGATTCAAGTTTTTTCAAGCAATTTTCCCCTAAATTTTCAATCAACTAACTGAAACCACACATACACAAAAATCACCCAGTGGCCTTAGAAACAAATGATTTGTTGGGCCTATATATATTTATATTATAAATATATATTACTAGAAACTGAATAACTTTGGAAAAAATGTGAAAATCAGGAAGGAATGTTAAATATTATTACATATTCCAATATGAATAGGTTTGGATAATGGGGCTAAGACCTCTCTCTCTCTCTCTCTCTCTCTCTCCAATTGTTATTCTCAAACAAAAAATAGCTTATCAAGCATTTTTTTATGGGTTTTTAAAAATGTATATGGAAAAATGATCACTACATACACATTCTTTTAGATCTGTCTTTTTGAAAAAAGAAGCTGTTGCAGACATTAGCCAATTTTTTGCAGCCAACGAACAATGGTTACACTCCTTTTTGGCTCTCTCAATGAATCCTCTATCACTAACTATGAGCTAACCAGACAAGAGGGAGGTGACATCATTGCTCACAAAGCCTGCCAAAAATAACACCTTCCCACCCCCAAAACAATTGCTGCAAAATTTTGTCCAGAGTTACATAACCTGCAAAGATATGATGCTAGTGTTCTGTGGATATTTTTATATTTTCAATCTGCAGGTTGTTAGCATTAAAGATTTACAGTCTACTGACTTGCATGGTCTAAAATGATGATAAAATATCATGATATGTTTGAAATCTTTTGAAGAGTAATGATGCCCCAGTGGTGCCATTAGAGGTAAAGTTTAGTTCCACTTCTACAGGAACCAGAAGACAGATGTTTCTTCAAAATGCCTGTCAACGTTACCTGCTGATCCTCTAACCACATGCCCTGAGAGCTTTGCCAGAAATGAGGGTCACAGCGTAATGGGAAAAGACGTCAAAGAAGAGCAAAACCGTCTCCGAGGATTTGAGGTTAGCTGCAGTGCCTCCAAAAACATCTGCAAGCATGTGATTATAAATGTCCAGTCATGACCACATAGAAAAGTCGATTGGTCTGAAATTTCTGTTTGGTGAGACAATCTTTTACCCTGAGGTTTTAAACTGAAGCTAGGGTGTTTCTCACCAGCCGAGTCAAAAGATGTCACCCCCCGTATCTGTGATATTCTTGCATGAATTATACATGATTAAACTTAATCTATGCCTGAACATGTATTTCTGCAGTGCTCTCAAGGCCTGTGGACCCATAGGATGTGGAGTCCGGTTGAGGAATGTTCTGTAGGCAGTCGGGACTCACTGTCGGAGAGCAGCTGTTCCAAGCTGGACAATGTCTCTGAAAAACAGGACAGGAAGAGGTGCAATTAGTTTTTTATTTCACAATGAATCTGTGGATGACTGATGAAGTAAATGATCCATAAATGTCTGATGTCATTTCATACAATGGATTTCAAGATGCAGTTGTTGAGTAAAGTGTTGATTAACACATAATGTTTTCCCAGCTGTATCGGCCAGAGGGCTCAAACAACCCCTGTTTCCTCTCAAGAATGTCTCAGACCCAAGCTGTTGAAGGAGTCGACAACATCCACTGGAATGGTAATACAATTTCAAGATTTTTTTTCATAACAGTGCACTAAACTGATTTATAAATGATCTCACTTATCTCTTTCCATCGCCTTTTGTAAACTGAATAAAGAATGAAGAGCATGACTGCTCAAAGCAAAGACAAGACCACAAAATAGAGGAGCTCCTAAGCCAGGTGGAGGTCCTTTGGGATGCTCTGCAGAAGAAATATGGAGAGAACAATAAGACCGAACCAGCGGAAAAAGAACAATCCGGAGATAAAGCTGCACAGATGGTGTCAGATCTCACAGTTTCAAACCCTCTCCCGGAAAATGTAGAGGAATGCAGTTCAGGAATGCTTGAAAAGTTCCTTGAACTGCTGGATCACAGTGGTTGTCACAAAATAAGTCAGGTAAACCAAGCATCATCATAACCTTCATTAAACTGTAATGATACCAAAACATGAACATGAATATAAGAAAAGTAGCTTAGTCAATTTCAAACTCATAACGTGGTGTGTTTGTGTATGATTTAAGAAAATGTGATGAATACACTGTTGTAAATCTGCTTTAGGATGTTCCTGGATCTCTGCAAAGGCAAGAAATAGACGAGGCTGCAGAAATGTCACTAAATCTAATGAGTCATCAAACTGAACAAGAAAGACCCCGGAAGCAGGACCAGATCACTAATGATCTACAAAGCTCGGTAAAAAATGAGTTTGTTTCACAAAGCAATGTCCAATATCAACGTGATTTTAAAGATTTACATATAAATAAATGAAAAGCACCATATGTCACTCATTTATATCACAAAAATGACTTTAAACACCTCTTACCATTTTTCTAGGGAGTTTTTTTTTCTGGAAATTTAAGGCAAAATGTATCAATGTCATTGAAAAATATTAAACCAATTGACATTTAATTTAAATATGTATCTTTCCTCAGCTATCTACTCTAACATTGCGGATAAACCAGCACCTCTGCCGCTGTGCTGAGCTCAGTATGGACCTCCTGGACATAGAAACAGATATGGCTGTGCTTTGTGACCCTGACCTCAGCGGTCTGGAGGGGCTACAGGAGCAGCAGGATGACCTAGAGGTTAGATAATGAAAAAATACCTTTACTAATTGAATGTTAGTCACTATTTGAATGACCTTAGAGCAGTAATTAATCTTTGCCTGCAATAGTTAAAGATGGGCCCAGCTTCTTAGGTATTACAAAGTTGCTAAGGTTAAACACAATATTAAATTATTTATAGAATCCTTCATAATGGATTAGTTTTCAAACTGCACCCTGAAATTGATTGAATGAGTTTCAGCTTGACATTTTAGGTCATAAACATCATGCTAAAGAATGCATTTTTTTTGTCCCACAAAGGCTCATTATAATATAATTGAGGGAGAGGTGAGAGAGATGGAGAGACTAGCCAGTCAGCTACAAGTTCATCCCCCAGAGCAGAGAGACACTCTCAGGGAAGAGGTTTTGGCGATCCTGCAGGCTTGGGAGGAAGTAGGCCGCAACATGGTTGAAAACAGAGGGCGCCTGGAGAAGTTCCACCAGATTCAGGACTACTTCGATAACTATCTTGCCATGATGTAAGAAGAGAAAGTCTGACTAATTTGGATAATTATACCTAGTGAATATTTCATACTTAATGCCAACGACTTTAGCAAGAAATACTTTCCCATGTGTGGTTTTGTTATATTAAATTAGTTTGGGACTAATGTGATATTTTGATACAGTCGCTTTTCCTGTGTCCTGTAGTTCGTGGACGGAGAACACCAGATCCTGTATCCTTGCTGGCAGCTCTGCTTGGAGAGAGAGTGAAGTTGCAGAGATTTATCGCAGCATTGAAACAAAGCTGGATGAGTTTAGCAAACTGGCTGCAGCTGGTCAAATGCTTATGCAAGATGAGAGTCAGTTTAAAGACATTGTGAGTGTGTGATTGATTTACTTACAGCTGCCACGTGGTTATCTAAAAGCGATGTCAGCTGTCTAAATATGCAGTGTACATCTGCAGAATGTTCGTTATGATGTTTTCTTGATTATAATCTTCCTGTCTTTAGATCAAGGAGAGAACAGATGAGTTGCAAAGCATGCTGGGATGGATCCAAGTGAACTGGCACGCTCAAAGAGAGCAGCTTAGAAGAAACCAGAATGGGAGACCAGAATCAACAAATGATCTTGTTCAACAGCAGGTTTCTAGAATTTTTTCGACATCATTTAATAATAATATGATTTAAAATATATAAGGGATAATGTACAGTCATGTGATCATAATGGCAAAATTAACCCCATCAGGATCCTGTATCACCCTGAAGGGGTTTATTTTACAATAATGGCAATTTGACTGCACATTATCCTCCTTAATACACACGTTTACTAAATAAACAAAAATAAGCCTTATTATTTTAGAAGAAATAGTCATGCAAGAGATATGAAACACAACTTTGCACAACTATGTTGAAATCTTTTACAATCACAGCAAAGTGCTTCAATTGACCAGTAAGAATCATGCATTAATTTGTCATTTGAAATTGTAATTTTAAATCATGCAGTGTGCATTAGTCCCTCATTCATGAATTATATTTTGTATTTTATATAGATTCTAATTTATTAAATGATTTTAAATAAATAAATTGTGCTATAATTTTTGTACTTATTTTTAATTAGTTTTTTTCCCCCTTGTTTAGGCTATGCCTTTCAAAAAACCTTCTAACAGTCTGTGCATTGTAAATGAAGAGGTCAAAGGAAGTGCTATTGAAACACAGCCCTCTCAAAACAACTTTGAGCAACTGAGTGGGAGGCATGATGTGTCCAGTGTTGTTAGTCAGGAGTCCTGCCTTTCAAAGACATCCCTAGGCTCTAGCATCTGTCTCATTTTGAGCTTTGATGAACAGTCTTCAGGCATCAACCAAGTGACAAAGCAATGGTCACCCAACAATAATGAAATACTTGAAGAGTCAGCAAACAGCATTCAGGCAGACAGACGTCAATCACAAGACAAAAACTCAATGCAAATGCAAGATCCAAAAGAAATGCTTCAGGTGAGATGGCCGAATGAATCAGTTATGAGTAAAGAGACCAAACCCAAGTCATCTTGTGTGAATCTTGCACAGTTGCAAATCAAAAACCAAGGAGAACCAGACCAGTCGCCAAACAAGGAGGAAATATCCAGCCAATTGTCCACATATAACACTGAATCATCAATTTGCAATCACCTACCAGAGAATCTGCAGTACAACAACAACCAAACATATCTGCAGCTATCACCAGACATTGATCAAATGCAAAATCCAGAGCATCAAGTGCAAAAACCTCAGTCACAAAGCTACAGTCAGAACTCGACGCAAAAATCTGCACACAACAATCTAGAAATAAACCAAAACCAAAGTGACGACCACCTGCGGCATGAAGTGGCAACTGAAGTCACTCATAGAGTAAGTATGACTTCAAATAGTGTGTTAACTTCAGACACATTCCAAACTCAACTCAAAGCTCGCACACAAACCAGACATGCATTTGCTTATTATTCTCCCGGCTCTGTACATCCTGTCCCATGTGGTAAAACAATGAGCTCATGATTAAGTTTCCATGGCGTGGCTTTGAAATGCCTCCTGGTGGTGTGTATTGTAATAATTCGCTGTGAAGCCTGCACATGCCATATAGGATTTATTAACTTGGCATGCAATCGTATTAGTCATGCTTCGGCTATTGCCATCACAGCTGTGTATGTATATGCATTCAATTTTTAATGCTTTCAGAATGTGTGTGGCCATTATCAACTGCACCTTGAGTTTGGTTTTATAACATTGCATTCACTTCTCTTTTGCAGGTGTTCACGTATTTGCACGTCTCGGATAGTTACAGATCCACAGGGCGAGCCTTGGAGGTTGTGTCCTCGACACATGCAGCAGGGCAGGACGTGACAACCCCTGCATCAGGTTCCTCCTCAGTTCAATCGTCCTCCTTCCTTTGGCAAAATGTCACACTTGAGAGAGGAACGGTTTACAATCACAACAGATTCAAGCCAAGTTCTTTGTTCAAGCTGAAAGAGCCAATCAGGAGTAAGGTGGAAAACCAGCGAAGGAGCTCTCTGCTTGGCACTGTAGGATCGGAAAGGTCTGGCAAACCTTCAAGCATTTTCAGGCGAAGGTGTAACACTTGGCCAGAAGGAGAAAGGAGAGCGAAAGAAAGTCGATCAAACTCCAAACTTCAGGTTTTTATTAAAAAAAACATGTTGCTGGTGAATTCTGTCATCGATAACAAGTCCGACTATTTTCCAGAAGACAATTTGCCTAATGCTGTCAAGACTTCAAGTGGACCAGTTAAAAACATCTGCTCTTATTTGTCTCTAGGATCCACTCTTAGCTTCAATCTTCCCAAGTGCTTTCACAACAGTGTCTTGGACATGGAAAATAAAGAGGAGATTCAACCTGTCCAGACTTATGATGACTCAAACAACCAAACATTACCCTCAGCTCGATCGCCACAGTCAGAAATGGAGGTAGAACCAGTGATTCATACTAAACAAACTGAAATAAACCTTCATACGTTTGATGTGGAAGATTTGGACAATACAGAAGAACCAACCACTGAGGTTGAGACCCAACAGTTAAACCAAGTTTATGAACGCACAGAACCTGTTATGAGGGTTTTCACGTTGGTTGAATATGAAAAACCTGATAATGTTTCCTCCAGCCATCACAAAGCCTCTTCTCCAGTGGTTAATGGCTCCGCCTCGGTCACTCACTGCGGGCCTCTGTGTCCTTCTTCATCAGGTGGTCACAATTGCTTAAGTGTTTACACTAAACTTAAAGACCTGAATGGCCACTTATATTACACATCTAAACACATGAAGATAAACGCCTCAAAAAACTTGTTCCCAAATAGCCCAGTCTCTCGTAAGAGTGGCCGCATTATAAACTGTGGTCTGAGAGACTGTGCAGTGTGTTTCAGTGATACAGTGAAAGAGACAAGTGTAGACTGTGCAGAGAAACCTTACATCAGCATGGAGGAGCTTCTTAAGCCAGGCCACTGGCTATTCCAGCAGGAGGAAGAGGAACTGGAAGATATCTGGAGAGGAAGAATGGGTATTCTCACTTCAAACTGTACTGTGGAAACAAATACGGATGAAGAAACAGGTATATGAGAGGATTCTTACAATAAAGGTTAATGACTGATATTGAATTAAGAAATGAATACTTTTATTCATCATGGACATATTAAATTGACCAAAAGTGACAGTAAAGACATTTATAATAAATATTATAAATATTTCTATTTCAAATAAATGCTGTTCTTTTTATTATTAAATGTTAAGCAGCACAACTTTTTTCAACATTGAATTAGTTAAATACTTTGGTGTATTATGGTTATTTTTAAATTCAGACTGCAATTTGCTCCAATATAATCCTTATATGCATTACTGTTCAAACATTTGGGGTCAGTAAGTTTTTTTTATTTTTTTTTAAAGAAATTAATACCTTTATTCAGCCAGTATGCATTACATTGATCAAAAGTGACTGTAAATAATGTTGACATTTGTAATGTTAGAAAATATTTATATTTCAATTAAATGCTTAAACTTTCTATTCTATATACCACAGTATCCTGAAAAAAAAAAATGCATCACCGTTTCTACACACACACACACACACACACACACACACACACAAAACTAAACAAATCCCCAAGAAAAACAATCAAACAAAAGAAAACAAAAAACAAAACACACAGAAAAAGGAGATGCATATATTAAAAATGTGACCAGCTTTTTATTAACTGGAAAGCTGGACTTGCATTTATATAGTTTCCTTTACCTCTATATATGGTTTCACAATGCAACATGCAAATTATAGGTGCACATCTAGAAACAAACATATTCACAACATTCACAGATCTCAGTACTCACCCTCCGAGGCCTTGGAACTGCTAGGCTGCTCAGATTTATCCCCTGATCCACCTGGATTACTTTTACCGCTGAGTCAGGCGGAAAAAGAGTCGAGAAATAATCAGTTATCTCATCGATCACAGAATTTGGGCGCGACAGGTTGAATCATGACATTGATATGCAGTTATAGGAAAAACGGCCTGTTAGAAAAACAAGATGAAATGCTGGTACTTACGATATAACTGTGTTGGTTGACACTATGTATTCTACTTCTTTGGTCCAGGGATTTATAAAACTAAACCACTGACTTTGTAAGGTTACAAAAGAACCATATTTCGTTTTAAACTTATAGCAGTTTGTCTCAATCTTCTCTTTACTCCTCAGCACTGTGAAAAGAGGTGATCAAAATGACATATTAAAGGAAGTGCACCCAAAAATAAAATTGTCATTTACTCATAAAACTAGTCACTCCAATCCCATATTATGTTTTATATTTGACAGAATACAAAATTGTGGCTGAACGTACTGATGACTTATTTGCATATGATAAAAGTAAATGTGGATCCAGGCTGTTAAGCTCCAAATGACCAAAAGTACAATAAAAGCAGTCAATATGACTTTTGTGCTATATTTTAAGAGCTTGACAGACCTTTGTCAGATGGAAGAGTAACACTTTTTCTTCTTATCTTTTTTCCACAGAAGAAACTTATAAAGCATGGGAATGTGTAAACAAAGATAAACAAACAAAGGTAATAAATGCCACATTTAGTTGTATATGCATGTAATCCAGTATTACACTCTGAGGCACTGCCCTGGTGTATCTGCCATTGAAAGCTCTTCTAATGTTCTTTAGAAGTAAGACTAATGATTAATGATGGATGATGAGGATTTGGCTACTCGTGTCCTTCTTTGTACAAATGTCTTAGGCAATCTGCCCAGTTTCTTGGAAAATACTTTCAGGAAAACCTGTTTAGAGCTCCAGTGTTCTTAATGGTAAGAATCTGGATGCACTGTACCTTTTCGGTGTCTATCTGCCAAATGAGGCAGGTCGTCCAGATGGAAGTATTCATAGCAGGATGTGCCTAGCAGCTCCTGGGGTAAATAACCCAGAATGGTGGTGGCTCTGTGTGTGCAATATAAATAGAATGCAGTTTTTAAAATCACATTTTTCACTGTGAAACTTAAAAGGAGAAGCAAGTAACTTTTTAGAGTCAACTCCCAGAGAAAGTGCCACAGTGTTTACACTATCAAAACATTACTCTTTTTATTTGAGCACCTAGGCTATCCTGACATGACAACATTGGCTAAACCAATGCTGAGAATTTGAGGTAAATCTGCATGCCTGACCAACCGCAGATGTAAAGAGTGTTGA